TATAGGATTAATCCGACAAATTGAGAAAGGAGACTTATCGAAAGGCCCAATCAGGAATCCTTTCTTAACTTCCTTTTCAAACAAAAAATCAACAATTCAGGTTCTTTAACAGCAGAAAGCAAATTATTACAGGAAAATGATAACTTAGGCAACCATAACAATCCTGCAAAAAAACCTTGAATAAGTCCAGTTATTAAATAATTGACAAAGCAGCGTTTAGGATGATTTTTTAGTGCCTGTCCCAGCTTAGGAACATTGACTGGAGTTGTTGGCTTTATTTCTTTTTGTCCTTTCTCATAAAGCGGGTTCGTCTTGGGCACACAGATTTTGGGTGGCCGTCCCCGCAGTAACTACAAGCATGAACATATTTACAATTATAGAATTTGCAAACATTTTCATTAAAATTAAAGCACAAAGGAGTAGCGAATGGTGTTACCTTAGAGTCAACAGTTTGAAAGCCAGGCTTAGAAGTAAAAGGAGACACAGATTTTGGGCATAGATTGAGAGTGTGAGAATGAGAGCCACAGATCGAGCAGGAGAGAGCTTGATGACCAGTGAAATGTCTGCTTATGAGGGTTAAGTCGACTACGGACCAGTCCAATCTCTGATTAAAACGTTGAATAAACATGGCAGCTTTGGCAGAGAATGATTTGTGATAGTCATAGAAGAGAGTTCCTCCATAAGTCAGAGCCAAGTCAGAAATTATTGCCAAAATAAGTGTCCAGCTCGGCTCTACGAGACGGATAGATTTCGCAAATGACATCTCTGTAAACCCCAAATGCCACGTTAAATTCAGCTAGTGTTAACATTTTTGAAAGCCGGGGATCGCTGTCTTTCAGCATAACGGACACATCGCCGCAATCGACAACACGCTTCTCACTCATTTCTGAGCACAGTAATATTTTTATAAGATTGACATCATTACCTGCCACGATTTGGCTTCTCAACTGATGAGAAATCGCCGCAGCCGGCGGAAAGAATGGAGCGCCTGAAGACACGGGAACTGCACTTCCCATCGTTCTTCGCGGAATAGTCGCTGCGGCCGTATTTGTGACGTCATCATCCAGCTGCGGAGTAAACACGGGCAGCCGCGCCGTGCCTGAAGTGGAGTTCTCGAGAGACGGGCCAGAGAAGAGAAGATTTGCCGAGGACCTAGAAGATGGACCGGACTCCAAAGCCTGAATTCTGGAGTTCATGTCGGAGAGCGAAAACTGAATGCTGGACAATGCTGATAACACTGGGTCATTGCTTTGGACTGAAGAAGAGTGGACACCTCGGTTTGAGACAACAGGACCACCTGTCCGCTTGGGTGCAACATCAGACGAAGTCGGGTCGAGGTTCTTTCTCTTCTGCGGCTGTTTTCTGCCGGAGAATGGAGGAGGAGGAGGAAGATCTGCTGTCGAGACGTCAATTTTTTCACAGAGCAAAGCAAATAATTCTTTATGTGAAGCTCCAGTCGGTGCCGAGATATCGTGCCTATACAAAGTTTCCAATAACTTCGGCAATGGCCAATCATTGATGCTAGGAGGACTAGAAGATTTACTCGCAAGACGAGAGCTCCGACGAACAGAAGCGTTGCTTTCGTCTTGAAAGGCTTCCTCTGCTTGACTTAGTTGTTGCTGGGATTCTTCAATGGATTCAACTTGCCATTGGTCTTCATCATGTGCGGTGGTAGACATGATCAGCAGTTGAGTGAGTAACGTTACAGCAAAATATATGAGTAATCTCATCGTATTGCGAGAGCTATGTTTGCGAGCATGCAGTGGAAGCAACTGAGCAAACAGACTAAAAGATGCCTTTAAATAAGGCCCTTGATTGAAAGACTATAATTGAAGGCGTATCCATCGGATCAGCTGATAGACCGTTATCAGCTGATAGCAGAGCTTGACTACGCGGCCTGCCTGAACTAACGCTGTACGCTAGATTTAAAGACTCATTGACTGTGATTCACTTTTGGGTTTTCTTTCACCTCATAACAAAGTTATTGCATATGTTACGTTCGTAGATATTCTGTGGGCGTCTGTGTTTGTTTTCTGCTTGCGCTCTCTCTCTCTCTCTCTCTCTATCAATTTCTTAGGTCAGCCTTCACCGCTTGCTGATTGGCCCAGGAAACTGTCAATCATCATCAAGGGATGTGATGTGGACCTATCCGCTGTCTGAGACGTCCTCACTACCAGTTTAAAGGACGCTGGAAATAGACTGGAAATGAGTCCCGTTTTGATTTCCGTTCCCTTTTTGCTGCCATTGTGTGTCAACACAAATCAACACTTGTTTGATTTGTTAATTTGCTTATGCTAATTGTGTTTCTTCAGTTTGTTTTTGTTACTTTGTTTGATTACTTTGGATGACGTTTGTTTCGACTTGTATAGAGCTTGTGCTCTTTTTGTTACCCTTTGCTACAAGGAATGGGGGATAGGGAAGATGTCGTACGACTTCCATTGTGCAAACATCTAGAATAACCTTTGTATAGAAACACCAGGTAAGAGGTGAACGCCACCCTTGTATGTTTTTGTTTTGTGAGCTAGATTAGGGAAGAACACGGCGCTCGGCGCTGAAGAAACAATTATTTTTCTTTCCTTCTCTTTAGCTAGGTAAGAGGGTTGAATTTAATTAGAATTGTTTTCTTTTGTTTCTTTCTTTATTTTGGCGTCACTTTAGTCCCTTTTTCCTTAAGGGTAAATTGTTGCTTACTTTCTTTTATTTTATTTATGACTTATCTTTGTTTACTCTTTATATAATTGTTTATATTTTTTTGGAGGCTGTTCGCTTCCTTACTGTTCCTAATTTACTTTATCATTCATTTGGTATTCCTTATCTTTTGAATAATAAATATCATTATTTTCATTGGCAGTTTGGTTTCGCTTATTGTTTCTTGACACACACTACCATTTCCACAGTTTTACAAGGTTTTCTTTAATGTTACTCCTCTAGCCCCTAGATTAGTTTGGAGGGGTCATAACACATAGGTTACATATAATGCCAGTTATAATGATTAAAATTTATCATACTATCATATACCCTGTGTGTTAAGTGCCACACAGAGTTGAGGACATACTTTCACCCTTTTTTTTGGAGCTGCAAGTATATCTCTAGATTTTGTATGGTTATGGTCGGGTTAAGGTCACTATTCGGGTTTCTGAAACATTAGGAATAACCCGTTTACATGCGTGAGCAGAGAGTGTTTCTCCTGTATACATGGAATTGCAATATCCCGATGTAAACAGCGACGCGCGGTTAGCGTCTGGACGTACAAACAACCTTAAGTTGTGTCATTTCCGATTCTTCTTCCTGTATCCAAAGACAACAACAACAGCAGCACACGGATAATGAATAGTTCGCGGCAGATAGCGATCGCCTTTGTTTGTGCTTTGATGCTGGTAACGTTACTGAGCTCGCTCCAAAAGTATGCTGTGCTGCGTCTCGCCATGTTTACTTCCGGTATACTGCACGCTCATTTTTGTATGCGCCGAGAAGTTTCTCTACTCAAAAGACCAAGATTCCTTGCGAATAGAACATGCGCAAAACACAAATCACTATGGAGATATGCCGATACGCGTTTACATGACCAAAAATTCAGGTTAGAAAAGGGGTACCCCAGGTATAATATCTTGTTTTTTAAAATCCGGGATATGAGCATATTCAGGTTTTTGCCGGTGTTCACATGGCGGTTTGCGACTGGGTTATTGCTAACGGGTTATTGGCTGCATGTAAACGTAGTCAATGATAATTCCCCCTCTGTGACTCAGTGGTATAGAGAGATCTTTGCAGTTTTGCCCCATGAGAGACTGGCTGTGGTAGTTAGGGGTAATGCACAGAACTTTCATAACCTATGGTCTGTGTTTATAGATCACCTGCCTTTGGATGTGAGAAAAAATAGTCATGTGTACCAATTAGGGCTCTCTGGGGTGTGGGGTCCCTCCTTCTAGAGATGAGTATTGCAACTTTGCAACTTACAAAGAATGGTCTGGGTTCTTTTGTGTTCTGAAAAAAAAAAATTAAGTTGGCTCAATAAAACATTACTTGTTGAAATTAATTAATTCTTATTGCATTCACCTAAAAGAAATTCGTGGCAAAGTTTCCCTTAATTTAATAAAGTTAGTTAATTACTTTTTTAAGTGCAGTTGTGTCTGCTACTGACATTAGTATCATTATTACTCACTGAGCAACTAAACTCACACCACAACTTTCATGCTTCCCACAGCCTATGCACAAGACCTACTCTTTAGAACAGTAAGTAGAAAAAAATAAATAAATAATAATAAAAACATTACAGAAACTCTTCTAAATGCCTAACATAATGGAACATTAAATAGTAAACTTGTATTTCCCTTTACTGTAAAACATAAAATATCACTCTAAGTCTAACTGTTTAAATGTCAAACTATAGTTATTGTGTGTGTGTGTGTGCGTGTGTGTGTACGTGCAACCTACATCGAGTTGACCAAATGTAACCACAAACATAGTAAAATGCAAAATGTTGACATTCTGGGGCCATTTGGTCCAGCCTAATGAGGACAACTGCTTAAAAATCATACCAAGTGATTTTTTTTTTTTTTTTTTTTTTAAATGTAAATATGCATAATGTTTTCCATGATGAGTAGGTTTAGGGGTAGGGTTAGTGTAAGGGTATATAATATACAGTTTGTACAGTATAAAAATCATTACATCTAAGGAAAGATATAAAACAAGTTTTTTTATGTAAAAATGCAGAAAGTTTTGTGATGGGTAGGGTTATGAGATGGAATATACTGTTTAAAAATATGGAATATACTGTACAAAATAAAAAAAATCATAACCTCTATTTTAATTTCAAAGTTAATTATTCCACTATTCTACTCATAGTTAGTAGAATGTCTAAAGTTGACTAACAAAATAATGTATAAACCTTGAAGGAAGGGCATCAACCTAATCCTATAGTATAAGTTATACACCAAACTCATTTAAAGCAAGCTCCTCCTCAGCAGTTCTTCACAGTCCACAAACACAACGGTACGCTATTACAGCGATCAGACATTTAGATCAACCTCTCACTTCATTTCAGGTAAAATATTTTATGCTTAAGTTAATGTCTATACTTCTTTTGTTACACTGTCTGTATTTATATACATGTTGATATAAATTATAAAAAAATATAATCTTTTGACTTTTGTGATTTTTCACTCCAGTGATTCCATTTTTTAATTTCTTCAAGTTTTGTTATTTGTTTGGATATTTGGCAAAATATTTGAGAAGAATGTAGATTATATCATCTGATTTTTCAGAAGAGAGGAGAAACTCCAAAGGCATCTCTATACGTATATCTTAACTGTTTATCTCAGAAAATCAAATGATTGTGATACGTGTATATATTATACTGACAACATTTTTAACTGTGCAATCCTTTTTTTTTTATAACAATGTATAAAACCCTGACAGTCTCACAGTTTTATAACTCACTCTGGCCAAATACATTATTATCTAATGCTTTACATATAAATATTGTACAGAACATCAAACACACACACCAAAAATAAAACAACCTTAAGTGAGTTGTGAACTGCAGAATTTGAATGCTTAATTACAGGTGAAAACTAATAATGGAAACCAGCAAGGTCATCTCAACTGACAAAGCTACAGTTGTCATCCAAGTAAATCCACAGGTGGCACAAAATGCTGTTATTTGTGATGATGGACAGCAGACCAGAGTATATCCCAATACGGCTCTCACTGGATTTTCCAAAGCACAACCAAAGGCTTTGGGGGTAATGCATTTAATGATGAATTATAATTATGATTTGTTGAATATTTTTAGTGTATAATTTCCATTTGTGATAATATGAACAGAAAGTTAAAAGTTGTCATGTGTTCTCAAGTTAATACACAACGCATTCTCACCCCAAGGCGTCACCTTTGACCATGCTTCAATATTTGACGTTTTAGGCGCCCTTTAGCGTCACTTACATGACGCGATCCTACGGCGTCATCTAACTGACGCTAAAGGAAAGCGTCAGTTAGAGGACGCGGTTAGGTTTAGGTGTGGGGTGGGGGTAGGGTACACGAGATCCTAGGGCGTCATCTAACTGACGCTAAAGGGCGCCTAAAGCGTCAGATATTGAAGCATGTCCAAATGCTTCCCAAGGCGTCAGTTAGGTGACGCCTTGGGAGTGAGAATGGGCTGTAATACAGTATGTTTGTGTTGGTCTGATTGCATTTAGACTGTAGAGTGCATAGAACATTAATATTATTTATTAATTATCAATAATATTATATTATAATTTTTATTCTTTGAGCATGCGCGCATGGATGTGTGTGTGTATCCAAATATGAATGATTTGCCATCATGCAAAAATATAAACACTTGACCCATTTCTCCCCTCTCTAGACTGTCCAAATAGTAATTGGAGTGGTGAATTTCATGTTTGGTATCGTACGCACCACCTTTCTCAGCAAAGATCACCCAGTTATTATTGTCAAGAGTGGCATAACCTACTGGGGATCCCTTTTTGTAAGTTTCATTGAATTATTTTGCTTTATAAACTCTAATTTTTAAATTACAAGAAAAGAACTTAAAAATGTCCTTTTTCTCTCAGTACGTAAGTGGTGGATCTTTGTCGGTTGCAGCACAGAATAAACTTCACCCATGTGTCGTACGTAAATTTTTTTATATATATTGGTTTTTTTTGACACCATCAAATAAATTAAACTATTAAAAAATTTATCTACAATTCTTTCACAACCATAATACTTTCATGGTAAGTTCTCTCCAGACCACATGGTCTGAAACTTGAAAGATCAAGACATCTGATTTATCAATTTACATAGTTAAAAACAGAGTTCTGGGTGTTTTATAAGTAGTATAAATGTCACTTTTTCACTTTTTTTTTCTGTAGGTGAAAGCCTCTCTTGGAATGAATGTGATCAATGCCATAACTGCAGGGATTTCCATTGTTCTGATGTCCATAGAGATAGTTTTCAGCTCATTGTTCTATGAAAACTGCTACTACAATGGCTACAATCATGGCTATGGTCGTAACGATGGTTATTTTGGAAAATAGAATTTCAAGGAAATCTGTTTGAATTTACAGGTATTAAATGTGCAATGTTCACTACAAAAAAATAATGTAGTCTGTTTTTTTTTTTGTTTTATAGTAACTTTGTTCACCCCAAAATTGCAATTATGTCATACTCATAATTTAAAGTTATTTTTTTACAAAGACTGATGGTCTTTCAAAAAATTACAAAGTAGTCCATGCATTCAAAAGCCATATGATGCCTCAGTATAATGCAATATAATATTTAGAAACTCACTCATAATAATTGGTGGAATATTATATGTGATACTGCTATCATATGATCATCTTGAATATTTTTTAGAAATATGATCTGGGGATCAGTGGAATATTGCTGGTGTTCTCCATCCTTCAGTTCATCATCTCCATCTATATCTCAGGATTCGCCTGCAAAGCCACCTGCAAAAAAGACTCACAGACTACAGTGGTCAATGTGGCACTGAACCAGGTAAATGATTTCCAGTTAAATGAACCAGGTAAATGATTTGATCATTGTACACTACATCCTTTTTTCTACTGCTCAATTATTTAATTGTGTGACAGTGGGCTTTTTACTTAATTATTCATCAAAATATATCCAATAAAACAGTCTTTATTGGTGTGTGGATCTTGTTAAGTCTCTTGTGTACTAACATGTCTTGTCTTACTTCCCAGGGATACTGAGTCACAGTGAGGGGATCTAAACATTGCAAGAAATTTATATATTTTATATTTGGTTCTAAGCAATATTTTTTATTGTTATTTGTCAATATGTTCAAGTGTTACAGGAACTTAAAAAAAAGAAAAAAAGAGAATTGAATAAAGATTTGAATTGAGAGTGCATAAAATGACTTGTGTATTGCTTGTTGACACAGACACGCTTATGTCTCTGGCAAATCTTTTTTTTTTTTTTTACTTAAAATAAAAACCTCAACAAATAAATACAAATTAATTTGAATTGTCTAACCAACATAAAACCAGGTTTCAGTTTAATGAACAATCAGCTGTCTCTGTGCATGAAAAGAAATGCATCATTGGTAAATGTTTGTGGTCTCTATATCTGTTCTTAGTATCTGCAAAGCTACCTGCAGCCAGTGACCAATGGTTCACTAAACAAATTAAATGGTTTTGGTTGTGGTGTTGTTAGGACAGCAGGCCATGCTATTAAAGGGATAGTTCACTCAGAAACAAACCAATAAATAAAACAATATTTTTACCATGGTCAATGGAAAAATATTAAGTAATTATATACATGACACGTTCTGAGCTTTTATAAGCACTAATTTCCTGTATGAACCTAACGGACCAATTATCTGAGCAACGTGACTGAAAGGCTTCACCCAAAAATGAAAATTGTGTCAGTAATTACTCAATACTCACTGATTAATGTTTCACTAAACAATTTAAATGGTTTGGGTAGCAGTGTTGTCACACCCATAACTAGGAAGGCAAGCCATGTAATTACAGTTTTTCTCAATTGTTTACACACAAATTCTGGTACTTGAGACACATTGACCACAACATGTAACTCATTCGCCAACCCCCTCAACAAATTCTTAAACACACTATTTTCAAAACACTACACACAAATTCTCTGCATTTGGCACAATTTTCATGCAGAAAATCTCTTGTTTTCACAAGGAACACACTGCCATTCAAATATTCACACTGACTCGTCACATGGGCAAATACCCGTCACACAGTTTTACAATTAGCAATCAGAGCTTTAGCACAAAATACCAAAACCGAAGAGAGGATGCAGCATATATATATATATATATATATATATATATATACATATATATAATTACTGTAAGAGCATAATCATTTTTTTCTGTTGTTTTGTAGACCACTGCATGTACAACTTTGTGTTGGTTGGGATGTATGAAATGTGCAATCTATCTCCCATTGATTTTGTGGGGAAAATAAAATATATTTGGTACCGTGTATTTGTCTGTTCTGGGTAAAAAAAACAATATTCACAAATATTTTAGAACACACTTATGTATGTAATGTCTGTAGTAAGTGTAACACTGAACAAAAAAGGCCCAAGTCATTATGATGAATGGAGAAGAAGTGTTTTCCATTGATCGTATGTGTTTTACATTGAGCACATCAGTGTTCAACTGGTTCTTATAAATGTCTATTCATATGATGGTTTGTGTGTGTCATTTGAAAACAAAATAACATTTTGAGAATATATAACACTGTTTTGAATGTAAAGTTTCATTTTGCACTAGAATTGAGGGGTTTTGCCGATTGTGTGTGTTTTTAGATTTGTGCAGGAAATGTGTGTAAACAATCGAGAAAAACTGTAAATGGAAGGTATTAAAGGGACATGAAAAGGACTTGAGAGGTTAGTATTGTATACAGGTTACTAGGTCTACATATTAAGTTTACTGTGAAGGTGTTAATTAATTGATTTGATACAAGATAGATGGAAATGAATGAGAAGCAATTTGTTTTGTATTCAGCTAAAGGTTAAAAATAAATAAATAAATAAAGAGAAAGGGTAGGACTTGAAAAGTTAGATAGATAGATAGATAGATAGATAGATAGATAGATAGATAGATAGCCTACAGATTGCACAAAAGCAGTATTGTCCAGTTCTTTAGATCATTATCAAACCTAGAATCAATGAGTATTTCAACCTTTCCCATTGAGGAGCCTGAGTATGGGGACCTCACCTCAGGACTGTGGTGGGGAACAGTTGAGGCAGGAGAAACTCAATGCCCCACATCCTTGAAGTTCACGAAGCAGTGGAGGCAGAACAAGACACATGGAGGACCTGTGCCCACCAGGTCCCAACAGGATTCACCTGTGCATGCCAGTTCTAAGAAAGGGGGCCTCGCTTCAGCCTTGTTCTTCATTGATTCATCTGAGAAAGACCCGAACTCAGATGCAGTACTAAAAACGGAACAGCAGAGAAAGTGGAGGCAGAACAAGCCACAAGCACCAGTGGCTGCCGAGTCCACACAGAAAGCACCTGGGTTTCCACAGGGATCACCTGTGCCCAAGTCTCAAGATTGGTGAAAGTTTCATTTCTCTGAGCCTCTTAAGCAGGAGCGGCTGCAGCAGCAGAAGCCTCAAAGTCCTTCTCTTCAGGGAACACTGCCTGACAACATATCAAAGAGGCAAAGGCTAAAGATCCATGAGCCTCAAGCGTCTTCTCTTCAGTGAGTACCCTTGCCTGTCAAGACTGCACTCATGGCCTCCAGGGTTCCACAAGATGCACCTGTGTCCGTGAATTTATCCCCATTCCTACAGGGAACCCCAAAGGGAGCAGCTGTGCCTGGCAGAACCATAAATCAAGGGAAATACATGATCCCTCACCATCTGTGACAGCAGAAGCCAAGTCCATTTGCACAGTTGCACAGGCATGATTTTTTTTGTTTATTCAACAAGACAATGTAGGTGTGTGTCAGCCACCTCCCCAAAATAAAATATGTATGGAAATTGAAAAAAAGGTGCAGCTAAATCCTAAACCGAGAAGCCAGAATCAGAAAAGCACTTCACATCTGGACCAGAGCAACCTTCAGCCCAGGTCCCAGCTGAACCGGAAGCAAGCATTGGTAAGTTCCCTCCTTTTTCAGATTTAATAATGTAAACACTTTAATAATTTAATGACTAGTATCATATTCTCATTATAGTTTATAGAACCTTCACCCCTGAAATTGTAGAAAGAACAAGTTTTAAGATATTCTATATAAGAATCACTCATTAAATCTGGTCAGCATGACATGTATGTTCCTTCAACAGAACAATGCAGGTGTGGACCAGTCACCTCCACAAAAAATGCAGCGCTTGTCAATCAAAGCCAAGGAACAGCAGTTGGAACCAGGCAGCTTAAAGAAAATGTGCCATTTATGTAGCATATTCATGCATTTTTGTAACGTTTAAATATTTAATATATATACATTATGTTATATTGTGTTTGCGTTTGATTTGAATGCATAATAAAAAGTAAACTCTGTTTTTGTTCATATATGACAACACATATTAACACTAATGTTATATAAATGTGCACTTTAAGCAAAAATAGATCTCCTATTTTTATCTCCTGTCTCCGAGCTGATTAAATGTTAAAAAGAAGCTGCACGCTAAGCCAAATGACAACATTGTAACAACATAGATGATTTGTATTTTCTACAGTTTAGGGCTGAAGGCAATGGTTGTACAATGCTGTATTTTGACTGTTTTGGTATACATTTTCTTGCATGAAGAGTCTGCATCCTAAACATAATCAGATAAAGGTTTTTAGTTTTAAAAACATGTTGTTTTTTTAAATGACAGAATTAAACTTAAGATTTAAGCTTTTCTTTTACTTCTTAGGGTACTTACCCCAAGACTTTTTCTACTTTTTTTTTAGTGAGCCTTTTATAAGAGGAGCCTTTTGGAGGAGTTTACATACTTATGGGTAATCACACACTCCAAACACATACACGATAGGAGAACTTTTAGGCTTTAGGCTAAATATTTTCTGAATAAATTATAAAATTTTATAGGCTACATGACGTCATAGACTCACACTATCAGTGAATCAGCACAAAATAAACTCATAAAAAAGAATTAATGAATAAAGGATAACAAGAAACACATAGCCTACAATAACACTAACCATGTGTAGCACCTATCGCTAACACTAAATAGAGTTAACAAACATAAAACTCTATACATTGGAAAACAATTGATGTGAACAGTCTACAACGATGGTGTGAATTTTATTTTATACCTGTTAAGATGATCTTAATATTTCGACTTTTTGTCATAACTGACTTATTCGATTTCAACTCAAATTCAATTGAATATGTCAATGTCGACTTTTTGACATAGGCTGCATTTACACTGCAGGTCTTGATGCCCAAATCCGATTTTCTGACTACATCCCATTTTTTTGACGACCTGCTTACATCATCTTTAAAAAAGTGACCCATATCCGATTTTTGCATTCACACTATACACTGCTGAAACTACCAAATGCAGACGTTCTGATGGTTCTGAACCGGGAAATTAAGCAAAACAGCGCAAAATTCAATGGATGCCGATGCGAATAAAATTATCCAGTGTTTTTTTTCCACAATATTTCAATAAGTCATCAAAACATTGTTCTCGTACGGCGGAGAAAAAAAGAGGAGAGGCTCTGGCCATGAGCACTTAAAACGATGCCTCATATCTCGTGAAATGTCTTCAAAAACGGATTTATTTCTTTAACAACCCTGCATTTTTCCCTGCACTCTTCACCCCAAACACTCAAAAGACATGAAACCTCCGCATTGCTCCACTGTGTGTATCCTTTCTTCCATCGCGCCTATAATCGCGCATTTTTTAATGACGCATGACTCGCATTTACTGGGGAATATCCGATTTGTCTGCTTACATGGCACACGCAAATGCACGTATCTGATTCATATCAGATTTATTACCACATATGAATGAGGCCTGAATCCGATCTGAGAAAATCAGAATCCATGCGTTTTTTTCCCTGCTTACAAGTTCATTGGTCATATCCGATCTGTGCCACATGAGAGGAAAAAATCGGATTTGGGTCACTTGAACCATGCAGTGTAAATGAGACCTTAATGATGGCCAAGGCCCGCTTCACATGGACTATAAATAAAGGTAAAAATGTAGTTTAAAATAAATCAATCGTTCTCAATATCCAAGAATAGCAGAGTTCAAACCAC